TTTTGCTTTAATTAAAAAGAACATGTCAATCTTTCTAAAACTGTTAATGACTGCATGGATCATCATCTTACATAAAACTCTATTATATTACAGGCAAAGATCAAGTTGCAGTTGGGATTGTTCCCCTTGATGCCAAACATCGGTCCTCTCAGAGTGCAAAGTCAGTTTATCCCCTGGCTATAGCCAACTGTAAGGAAAAGAGGTAATTTATACTTTTCCACTGCAGGCCAGAACCATATTTAAGCTATTTTATTATCTCACTTTGTATAATTCTTTAAAAAATGTAATAATAATATTTTGACGGTATTTTGTGCGGTCTTAGTACCTGACCCTTATTGGCAGTGAGGATAGAGGACTTTTATCTGTTTCAAATCTTGTAATCTTGTTGTGTTACTTGCTACAGTTACAATGATGTGGAAAGCAGACAATAAAAACTGAAATTTCAATAAAGGGTATGCAACCAATAATTTATTATGAGTGATCTGGGTCGTTAGAATGTTTGTGTACATAAAGCTGCTGACAGTTGGTGAATAGTATTTGGGAGAGTTTCAAGTCTTATTAATAAGTAACTATCTTTAATTAAGACAATATAAGGTGGACAGGTTATTAACGAGTATGAATCTACATGTACATGTATGTGACTACGATTATTTGCCTATCTTGCATTTTCAAGGGAAGATCTCAGGAAGCTGTTCTTAAATTTAAACAAACAGAAGGACAAGCTTAAAAAGATGGGGATTAAAGTGGATGGCAAACACTATCGTATACGCTTTAAAGGTACTGGATCCAAAAGCTAGATGATTTTAAAATCCATTTATTAATCAATATTAATTAATTAAATAACTGGGGACGCCTATTTATGAACATTAAAAAAATAGCAACTCAAGATGATGCATACATAGAGGTATACTGAATGGCATTAGCTGTCTAAGAGACTTTCATGTAACATGATGCCAAAGCTAGCAAAGCAAGTGATCTGTAAAATTTAAAGTATTTGTAACCAATCTGCACGGAGCTCCATTAATAGTAATGCAAAACCAAAGCAAATTGCTGTATTTAAACTCCATTGAAAACTGCTCAGTTATTAAACTTATACTTCGTCAATTTGCTTTGTATACAGTTACTCTTGATTACAAAGGTTTGGTGTTGCTGATGGCAAAGATCAATGATGAAGATTTTCAGCTTGGTGGACAAGGCCTTGCTCTAGAATTCTGCATTTTCTGCTTGGCATGGAGAGTAAGTTTTTTGAATGTACAGTACATTTTGAAATGTCCAAATATAAGAATGTGCTGGTAGAACTCTTTTGAAACTGTGATAATTTTACCAGGTAATGTTTCAATGGTCATACTTTAAAGGGTAGTAGGGCTCACTTAAAAGCAGAATTGAGCCATGGTGTTGTAAGCAGGTGTAATGTCCAGCTAGTATAAACACAACATTTTCCACAATATTTTTTGTTGGTCCTTCTCCAGTGGCTGTTTCAGTTTGACTGGTCTCCTCATTTATTGAATTTTTGAAATAATTCTAATAGATTGTATCTATTCTTATTCCACTATAATAGGCATGTGATTGTGATTTAGGGATGCACGAAGTCTGTCTGGAACACTTCAGTCAAACAAAGGCAAACATTGGCGGGTAATATATATATAGAAAATTTGTGGTAACTAAATCACAGGATGTATTCGGACGGTCCTGCTGATTTCATTTTATTTCTTATTTTCAACTATTGTAGTCAAACTATGAAGAAGTAATTAAACGTGTTATTAATGATATATAATATATGGTTAGGAAATGGTCGTAAATAAACAATTTATTCAGTAGAAATAATGTGTTATATGGCTGGGTATTTCTGCTTGTCATTTTTTTTTAGCTGAAGTGCACCACCGTAAGTACCTTTATTTAATTAATCCTTATAATGTAATGTACTTTTTTTAAGCTTTAAAGGGCTGCGAGATGACTTAACATGCCTCCTTGACGAGGATCTTTCTACCATGAGTCTTTGTGCTTTGCACTGCGAGATGCGAAACACTGAGCAGGTGCTGAAAAGTGTTGGATTGCTGGCCTATCAGATTGGCTCACTTCCAGAATGCAATGCCAAACTTTCTGATTACGGTCCATCCAACTTCAAGGCAGATAGGATCACTGTTAAGTTGAGACCTGGACAAGAAACAGCTCCTGGACGAAATAATGTGTCTTTTGCCTCCTGTTCAGGTTACTCTAAAATCATAATTTCTACTATTTTAATTTGTCTATTAGGTTACAAAAGATTTCAATCTTGCCAAACAGCACTAGATTTCTTCACCTTTGTGCCAAGCACTTTTATTTCAACTGTTTTCAATGTCAAAAACTGAATCAAAAGAGAC